TAATCCCCTATAGAACCCCCCATGGAAGGAGTTTAGACTATAGCTCATTTGGGTAGATGGTTTATGTGGGGGTGCAAAGATCTCCTCCTACTGATCTCGAGGAACTCTAAGGCTCTACAAGGATGCAAGGGAGGGATTATGTTTGGAAGGGTTTAGGGTTTAAGCTTTAGGGACATTGAGAACTTGCACAAAATTGTTTGAATGGATTCAGGGTTCTTAGCATCTTCAGAATCACAATTCTGCATGGCGCTGTGGTGTGATTAACATTCCTACTGGAAGATGAGCAACTGTCTGGCTTGGGCTTGGCAGTTTGAAGAGGTTGCAGCTTCAATGCCTGGAATGCGCCTGGGGTGTATAGTTCAAAGCTTCTGAGCTTGTCATGATCTTCGGTGTGGCTCTTCTTGCTGATTCATGACAGGGAATGAGGGAAGGGGAAAGACAATCAACACCAACATATCATTCGGAATAACAAACCGGGTTAACTACAGAGATCCATTCCTGCTTTCCCTACTACCAACCAGTAAGTCTTACTGCGATAAATACCACGCCCTAGACCCCTAAACCCTCATGCCCAACATTCGTTTCAGGTAGGGCTTCAGGTCAGAATCGCGCAGCTGCTTCCGGGGTGTAGGTCGGTCAGGGGGCATCGTAAAGAATGGACAAATGCACAGACCCGCAATTCCTGCAATGATCTCCGACCACCCTCTGAACACAGGGAGCTGCACACCAGCCTATAAACCCTACAAACCCGAAACCCTATACTCTTAGGCTGACAGGGTCACGAGGTTCTTGGGTGAGATGACAGCCGGCCTGGATGAGCTCACTGTGACCTGGCGAACATGGGGGCTTCCCAAAATAAGGGGGCCCTTAGAGGGGATATAAGGCTTAGATAGGGATATACTGGCTTGAGGGTTTAGGATTTCGGATTTCCCAAAATCAAGAGTACCTTTGTGGGATCCCCATAATAAAGGTTTTAAAATTTGGTTGTCTATATTAAGGTCCCCCTATTTACGGAAACTACCACATCGAGTCCAACTCTCCAGGGCTTGTGTTAAGGATTTAGGGGCTGAGGGTAAAGGGTTTAAGGTGCAAAGTGAGAAATCTTTGGGGCTTTGGTTTGAGGGTCAAGGGCCGATGGTTAAGGGTTTAGGATGCGAAGGTTACGGTTTAGGGCTTGAGCTTTCAGGGCTCCAGGTTGAGGATTGAGTGGCCGTGAGCGGCCCTACCAGTATTTAGTCTTCAGCAGCTATCACCCACACTAACTTGGAACCTCCAGAAACCCCTGCTGAGGCTGTAATTAGGTTCCATGTCTTGGGAAGAAGGTAACAGTTTTAGATTCAACCTGTAATGAGTACACCACAACGTCTGGCCGGGGGGATCTAAAAAGTTGGAGCCAACATGTAAGGAAAAGATGCTTGTATCCCTGTTGCGCTGCAGAGTTTTAGGACTTCTTGAGCAAATGCCACTTGAGGCATGAGCTACCATGCACCTCAGATACTCATGCCATGCGTAGCCTAGGCAAAGCCATGTGCAGCTACATCTAGCCCTGAGCCCTCCGATAGAAGGCTGAATAAGTATTGTTGTCCCCTTATGCCGCCTACACTATTAGGGTATACTAGTGTATCCCAAAACCCTGTTCCAGTTATGTAGGCCCCTACATCACATGGCAAGCCTTACATCCTAAATCCGCGGAGCAATTGTCAGACCTGAGGTAAACCACTTGCCATCATAGCCCACGACGCACGTCCTCCAGAGCAGTTTAACCAGCTTCGGATGTAGAAGTAGAGCCCAATCTACGGTACGCGAATCCAACTTCTTGAAGACTCCTAAACGGGTGCCCCTAACTGTTGGAAACCATCTTGGCATGGTTATATTGTCCTCTAAAGAGGTGTTTATACCCCTAAATCCCAAAACCTAAACCCAAGGTAAGGGAGTCCAGGTAGGGGGAAGGAGGCTTACAGGCAGAGGCAACTTGCCGGGCAGTTCTTCCGAAACATTCCGGCGATTGTTGTTCCTCAAAGTAGACCCGTGATTTAGAACCCCCCTCCTCGTAGGGGCCTTAGTATTAGGATCCCTACTCTAATTCCCATTAAGGGGAGGGGGTTTATTAATTAGGGGTCTACAGCTGTTCTACAAAGCCTTGTACCAAGACCCTCCTTCTACCCTCCAGTATACCCCAAACACCTACTATTGGGGACCCTGTACCCTTATTTAAGGGGGTGCTGTTACTTGGGCATATCTCAAGGGAACCATAGGTTGTGGATAATTATGATTGATTCTTGACATGTAAAGGGATCACAGCATAGCTATTTGCGGACTTCGAAGCACTACGAGCATCCCCGTGAACCATGATGAACTGATATAGGGCGCATAGGGTATGCCCACCTTCAGAGTTTACTGGCTTTACAGTTACAACCCGGTTGCAGGCAACAAATCTGCTCTGAAATGCTAGAGTCCTCTATGATCATATTAAAAACTAGACCCTCCAACTATAGTCGCCATTACGTAGATAGAATATGGCTTTGGGTATATTATAACAAGATCCCCATACACCCCAGACTCTATCTACTTAGGGGGGGCTATACCCTGAAAGGGTTGTTAGCAATGGGTATCGCGGCAAGAACAGAAGGCAGATGGAGAACCTAAACCCCAAACTCTAAGAGGGTCTTGGAACACACTGCTGCAAACCCTAAACCCTGAACCCTAAGCCCCAAACCCTAAACCCCAAACCCTTAACCCTCAACTCGAAAAACATCAGCTCCTGGGCATCTCAATCGCACTTTGCGGGGGCAGCCGCCGATGCGAGGGCCATTCCTCAGGTACCTCCAAAGATCGGGGCAGGTCTTTATGGGTAGATAGGGGCAAAATATTAGGGGTGATGATGGAGAATCACATAGAAAAGAAAATGGAACATGAAATGGATACTGGGATTATAGGGTTTATAGGGGGTATATTCATGGTATATAGGGGTAATATGAAAGGATAATGGGGAAGAACATGGAAACTGCCTTTGTATAGAGGGGTTAAATGAGGATGGTAGCAAACTAACTGAGGTTATAGGTTTAGTGTATAGGGTTCAGGACATTTCAGCAGCGGCTTGATAGCAACCTTCCCGGTATATAGCATGTCCACCCCACTGATTGCGAACGTTCCCAATATGGGTGGTTGTCAAAATTATGGTCCCTTTTTGGATCCCTATTATAATACGGCACCTAAAATTTAGGCTACCCAAACAAGGGACCATAATTTGGACAACCACCCATATACTGCTGCAAAACATGATTAAGTGCTGAAGGTTTTAATTGTTACTGGGAGATGATTCATCAGACATGGGCCAATAATAATGCCAGGCACACATAAGTGTTTCCGCTTAGGCCCATTACTTAAAAATCCTGCATGACCTTATTATGTCCAATTCCCAAGGTATACAGTACTTAGAGACTTACAGCCATGCAGGGTTTTTAGTCACTGTAGGAGTTTTCCACGGTTCTGGACGGGTTATCAGATTCCGAAATCTTAGACCTAGGGGCGTGAGGGATCGAGTTGAGCAAGTGATCAAGGTCTGAAGATCCGCTGACCGTCCAGCTAGCTACCATAAGGCCTAAAGGATTGCCCAAATCATGCTAAGGCATATTTGAGGTACCCTATACTATGATTACATAAGAAGCCCGGGTCCCTGGGTCCATAATACGGGCAACCATTTAGGCCCCTAAAGTTGCTTTTTGTTGCAAGCTGCTTTATGGTCCCAATGGGTAGCCCACAGAAGACCCATCAAGCCACTTGTGACTGGCACCAACAACCAGTGTGCCATGAGAGCTCCCTCTAGGGTCATAGGCAAGGTGGACTCACTTCAATATGTAGGGTGGTCTTGTGAAGTCTTGTGAGGCAGGTAAACATATGATCTTGCATAACTGTAGCTTTCCTTGCTCACAAGCAGGTGCCCTAAGCGAAAGACTTAGACGTAGGACTCAGGATATCTTGCTCCATACTTCGGACAACGGTAGCTCCAGTCATTTGGAAGTACATGAAGGATGACTCCTGCATAACCTACAGATGAGGCATGTAATCCCCTCCTAGTACTGAAGCCCACCCCCCTTATATATTAAATCTGCCCTATATATTTTAGTATACCACAAAGGGATTACGGGGAGGGGGGAGGGGATTAATCAATACACATCCTCAGCCACTTAGGTCTTCCCATCTTACGAAGCCCCAATTTACTCAGGGTTCTCTCCTAGAAACATGCAGACCTACAGAATTACCGATACTATTGACTTATAATCCTGACATTATATATAGATATGTATACATATATATATACATATACATATATCTGTATATATGTGTGTATGTATATATATATATATGAGAACAGTATTTCCAGAAGCCGGAGTCTATGTATTCGGGCCGCTAACGCGACAACCCCTGCGAACCCTTCCCTGAATCCATTTTATGTATCATGTTCCCCGTTCTTTGCCGTTTCAATCTCCGATGCTCAAGTTCTTTCAGCCGTGTTCACCCTCAACTCTATACCGATTCACACCCCAAACCCTAAACCCTAAACCTAAGACAAAACCCTAAACCCTAAATCCTAAATTCGAAGTGCAAAGTACCACGTCCAAATCAAACCCTAAAAACTAAAACCCTAAATCCCACTGAAGGCTTGGGGTACATGGTACGTAGGTTATAATGGGGTTTTCTGTCCCCAATGTGTGGTTGCCTGCTTAGAACCCCATCTATAGCACAGCTTATGCGTCCACCGAGCCTCCAAACTCAAACCCTTGAAACCCCAAAATCCTAAAACCCTAAACCCGTAAACCCTAGTAAACAACAGATCCATAAACCCTAAACCCTAAAACCCATAAACCCTACACCCTAAACCCTAAAACCCATAAACCCTAAATCCTGAACCCGAAAAAACCCCTAAACCCATAAACCCTACACCCTAAACACTGAACCCTACCTACGGGTCTCTACAATACTCTCAGGCTCGCCATGGCCTGAGCGGTGAAGCCAGTGCCCAGGCCCTCGTGATAAGCGAAATCTGTCTCCTGTCCAGCTATGGGAGTTTAGGGCTTAGGGTTTAGGGTTGGGGGCTTAGGGCCAAAGGCTTAGGACTTAGGGTCTAGGGTTGAAGATTTAGGTTTATGTTTTGAAGATTCAGGATCTAGGGTTTAAGATTTAGGTTTTGTCGGAGATTAGAGTTTAGGCAATGTAGGTGGTTGAGGTTTCACGGTAGCCTAATGTTTGGATTTCAGAAAATACATGCCTGTGCAGCTATGAGTTGCTGCCTCCACCCGAAAAAAAGCCATCAACTGGGATCTTTGTTTAGGAATCTCCATCGCACGCTGAACTTTTCACTCAAGCAAGCATCGAGGTTGTAGGAAAAATATGAGCTGATGAAATGAGATCTCTCGAACCTGGACTCTGCACACCTCTGTGATCTATCCATCGCTTT